CTCCCCTGCACCCTTAAAATAAATGCATTTTTTGGCCACAGATGTCTTTATTTTAAACATACCATGAAAGCAAACAAAGCAAGTTATTTTCCTACTGTTTTTGGCGGGAGTGGCCCAGAGGTTGGGAGGAAGCAGTGGGGCCTTATTGGAACTTTCTTCTTCAGTATGGTTTAGGGGTGACTGACTAGGTTAGGGGATGGGTAGTGGTAATCGTTTGGCAGGCAACCCAGGTAAAGGGACAGTGGGGAGTTGAAAGAGTGTGGGTGAAGGGGCCAGGAACAAGGAGAGTTGGAGAGCCAAAAAGGAGCAGCTGATGCCAGTCTGCTCTGGCCTTGTAGGGGTGGAGTACTCCTTAAATGCTCTGGCTCTTTATTTACATACTACTAGGGGCTCGAACTTAAATGAGACTACTCCTGATATATGATGCTACTCACTGTGAGTCAAGGAATCAGAATCTCGCCCTTTCATGAATACATGCTGTTGCACATATAAATTAGGGTTGCCCCATCCCCTGCCCCACCTTTTCCCCCAAAGGCCCCACTCCTGCTCCACCTCTTCCCCCAAGGCCCCGCCTCTGTCACTCGCTCCTCTCCCCTCTCTGTTTTCCTATAGGGTTACCACCTCTGAGGTACATTTGCCCACACATCCTAGGGTTAATAAGCACAATTGCCCACACATGGGATTTTCATTTATAGACACTCATTTGAAATTCTCCATTTTTACACACACACACACACACACCCCCCACAGGTTTGCTTCATTAGCACACCCATTCTGGGGAGCAGGGGAAGGGAGCTCCCTCTTTTGCACATACAGCTATGATAAAAGGGAGGATTCCCCCTACATTTACACAGGTACTGAGATTGGGGGAGAGACTCCCCTTATTTGCACTAGTACCTGAAAGAAGAAGGTCCCACCTACTTGTACCCACACAGTGGGAGTTTTGAAGGAAGAGAAACAGATGCTCCCCCTTCTGGAGCACATCCACCTGAGAGAGAAGAGGGGAGCACCCCCCAAATTGTTGCATACCTACCTGGTTCCCATGCTCCACCAAACTCCAGACTGAGAAACTTTCCGAATTTTTCCCATTTTGGCAGTCAGGAGTGGGTAGGGCAGCTGCAGGCTGTGATTGGCTGGGCGGGCTTGGTGCCGGGCTGTGATTGGCTGGGCTCTGTCCCCATCTTCAAGAGGGTGGTGAGCATTTGCTGGGTAATGGTGTCTCGGTGGGTTAAATTCAAATGAGCAGCGAGCGGTTTCCACGGATCAAAAAACCGGACATCAGGGCTTGTCAAATGGCACCCAGACACACAAGCTGAAACCCAAACTGTCTGGGTGAAAACCGGACGGGTGGCAATCCTAATATAAATAGGTGTAGTTTCATCTCAGCATGTGTTTGAGAAATCGTCAAGAGCACTTGGGGCAGATGAGTTTTGGTGGCTAGAGAGGTCTGTTGTGGTGCTGATACACCCCGTCACCCTTTGGGGGCAGGGGAGAGGTGCATTACAGCCCTGCTGTTGAGTCTGTAGAGCTGCACCCAGTCTTGAGGCTGCATGGCCCTGGGACCTTAGTCAGTAGCCTGGCTCTTGCTACCGGCACTGTGGTCTAGCAGCCAGAGTTAGTAGTCTGGCCCTTGCTACCAGGGCAGTGCAGCCTAGCAGCCAGAGTCAGCAATACAGCCCTTGCTACCAGGGCGATGTGGCCTAGTGGCCAGAGTCAGCAATATGGCCCTTGCTATCAGAATGGTGCAGCCTAGCAGCCAGAGTTAATAGTGCTGGTGAGCTAGGCCACCACCACGGGGTGGGCGGTGTCCAGGATAGGGGGATCTGGGCCTGCCCTCTCCACCGGGTCCCAAACTAGGGCCCTGTCGGTGGCAGGGTTGCCCACTAGCCGCTCGGCAGGGAGCCTACCGAAACATGCTGAACCTGTCTATGGTTCTACAACCGCTTCCCCACAAAGTTTCTCTGAGTTGCTTCCTACCCGATTCTCTGTAGTTTGCCATCTCTGGGTCTTCACAGTCTCGCCCCTCTCTGTGGCGAACTGAGCCTGTGTGTTGGGGCCCGTCTCTGGCTGGCTGGCCTCCGCATCCTGGACTGCAGGTGATCCTCCTTGAGGAGCCACCTCCTTCTTCCCTGGCAGTCAGCCCAGACTGAGCTGCTCTGCTGTCTTTTGTATCCTTCTCAAGCTGGAGCATGCCCAGCAGAGCTGAGGGGGGGTGGCCTCCTCAGCCCAGAGAGAAGGCTTAACCCCTGCCGCACCAGTGCCAAGATGATGCGCCCTGTCACGAGGTCCCATTAATGTTCATCCAACCTTGACAGTTAAATGTAGAACAAATGAGTAGAATATCACTATTTACAGCATATAGTCAGTCTGGAATTCACTGCCACAGGAAGCCAACGAGACAAATTGTACTGTGATTGAATTTTAAAAAGGGGTGGATAAATTTATGAACAGTAATGACACTTGTTTCTGTTCAAGATCAGACAACAAAGTCAGTAGTTAAAGCTTGTGTTTTTGGGAGTAAATTGATTGCCCATGTGTGTATTGGGAAGGAATTTGTTGCTTCTATGTTCTACATTGTACAACTGGATAACTTTATAACACTGTTATGCGGCAAATTAAAATATTGGGCAAATTTCTAGTCGTTTTCCAACATAAAGCGCATGACACATTTCACAGTACTATTTTACAGGAAGCTGGGGGCTACTTTTATGGAACAAGAAAAAGATGAAGAATCTCTAATTATTTGCAAATGTCTTGACTACTTTCACTTGGACTAATTACACTTTTAAAACCATAATTAGATGTTTAGTTTTGCACTTTATTTCCAGCATTGTATGGACTGAATGAAGCTGCCTATATTCTGAATACATGGAATGTCAACTTTCTTTGTTTCCCCCCCCCCCCAGTTTTTAGACCAATGCAGCCTGTTTCTATTGAACGTTTCTATTGAACATTTCTATTGAAGTCCATTAATTTCTGAGGAATGCTCTGTATAGTTGAATGAGTCACCAGGTAGAGTTAAAAGAAAAGGAGTACTTGTGGCACCTTAGAGACTAACCAATTTATTTGAGCATGAGCTTTCCTGTAGCTCACGAAAGCTCATGCTCAAATAAATTGGTTAGTCTCTAAGGTGCCACAAGTACTCCTTTTCTTTTTGCGAATACAGACTAACACGGCTGTTCCTCTGAAACAGGTAGAGTTAATGACACTACATATAAAGAGGGATGCTTCATTTGAGCCTGTGTAGAATTTACTTAAAAAAATATATCCTGTGGGTGCGTGTGTGCATGCATGCAGGGTGGGGGTTGGACGGGGGAGAGGAGTAACTGTATATAGTAACTGGGGAGAGAAATATGAACAAATAGTAATTGGATTAGACTGAAAAATCTCCCGATGGTTTACTTCATAAATGGCGACTTGCAGCCTGACTGGTGGCTGAATAAGTTTCAGGTACTTGGTATTTTGGCAGCCAGCCTAATTCTTTAGAGAGTCCATTTAAAATCAGCCAGTCTGCTTTAGAGGAAAGTTCCCTTTGGCATGCTTCTGAATAAATGAGAGCTGGGAAAGTAAGAGCTCGGTCGTCCTGGAGACACTGTTTGCTTCCCTAAGGGAAATTATCTAAATATGAGCGATCATCTTCACACTACTTCACCACCATTTCTCCATGCCTCCCCTCTTCCAGGTTATAAACTGTTCTGTCCTAACCCCATTGTTCATTTTCTAGTCCTGGAACCCTTCCCTTCTCCCTCCCATTTTCCCCCTAACCTTAATCTTAATCTACAATTATGCCAGTTCAAACTATTTTGAAGATCTTTTAAAAATAGTCTGACATTTGGGGTATCCATTAAGACCTCCATGACTTGCTTTCTATTCCTGGTGAGAACCTGCAATATAGGTTATCGTCCATAATTTATGCACCATGAGGGGATTAAATGAATGCTGCTCTGTTGCGAGTGTCTCACTTTTTCCCTGAGGCAACATTTAATTTACTAACCTGCAAAACTAGTAGACTAGATAGAAGGAGCTATTAAACTAGAGTCTTCTGAGAGGAAGAATCCTTGAGGAAAAATGTGCATGTTGACCGTTGCAGCTCCCGCAACATAAAATATTGGTGTATGGGCTTGCTGCTGTGCAGGTCTGGAAGAGAAATCAGTGACGTGAATATAAATGTATATTTTGGAAGAAGAGGTACTGGCTTTTTTTTCTTTTGTTTTTTTTAAACTGTTAAATAAAATCAGATGTTCTGTTAGTTGTGGAATTCTGTGTGGATGGAAGAAAAATATGAATTGTTTGAAAATGTTCAATAGCTATACATGTGCTTTTCTATCATGTCTAGTATGTATTGGAGATGATCCTGTTGTCAGATTTTTTCCCTTAAATTGAGCAGATGTTAGTTTGTACATGTAAACATGAGAGGATTAAACTGAAAGCATATTAAGGGCATGTGTACACTACAAACTTCTGATGACACAACTTGCGTTGGCATGCATCCTTGGGTCATTGTATTGGCACTGAGTGTACTTCCCAGGAGGGCTTGTTTTGATGCACAGTGCAGTGCACAATGGGTAGTTATCCCAGTGTGCATCTCACCACCGTCCAGTGCACGAAGTTCTGACAAAGCAAGGTGGGGCAGAAGCAAATCACACAGCTCTTTCCCTTTCCTTACCCCGACAGTAGAGAAGTTGCCATTTTGTCCTCTCGATCCCACTCCTTTATAAGCACCTTGACTTTTCCTCCTCTACTCGGTCCTCCACTGTGCTGTGTCTGGTCCTCCAAATGTGGAGTGTGGTGACCTGATTTGGATCAAAGCTTATCAAGGGCTTATAGACACTGACCTAATCTAGAGTTATAAATTTGGGAAATTTTATTTAATACTCTGTTAATGATTTTATAGGTGTTTCTTCCTTTTCAGGGATGTAATTTAGTTACTTACATGTTGGGGAAAAGGCTTTTTATTCATATTTTATAAATAATTTTAAAATATTTCTTTCTCATGACAGGTTACTGAATGCAATAAAGCCTGGACTGGTAAAAAAGATCAATAGACTGTCGACCCCTATTGCAGGGTTGGTGAGTATCTGAAACTAAGATAAATCTTTCTCTATTCCTCTTGACATCCCAATTTCATGACAGTGATTCTTTTAATCCTGTAATATATTCTAAGGTAGTATAAACTCTTTTATCCTATTAAACCCAGACAGTCCCAGTGCAGGAATTCCAATCTTAACTACTTCCATGGTGGCAGGAGAACTCAAATCCTATTAGTATCTCTCTTCTAGGCAGGGGCTAAATGTGGTGATTCCGAAGTAGATATTTTGGAGTTCTGGTGCCAGTTTTAGAAAGTTTTGATGCACCAAGACTGTGTAAACATTCAAGAATGAAAATACGATTGTTCTGGATGCCTTATTTAATGCATAACTATCTTTGTAATATAATTCTGGCTAAAAAACCAACCTGGTGTCTAGTGGGGAAGTGAAGGCAACTTTAAAAAATTATAACAAATGGAAGAAAGGGGAAGTTGATCAGAAGTTAGGAATTGTCAAAAATTGATAAGGGAACCCAAGGGGAAATACATGACCAACAGAGTTAATGATAATAAGGAGGAGTTTGTTCAATATATTAGGAACAAAAAGAATTCTGGCAATGGGATTGGTCCATTACTAGATGGAAATGGTGCAAAAAAGCAGAAGAGCTTAATAGACATTTCTGTTCTGCGTTTGTGGGGAAAAAAGGATCATATAGTCTCATCATACCATCAGATGGTAACATTCTTTCCATCCCACTAGCATCTCTGGAGGATGTTAAACAGAAGCTACTAAAGTTAGACATTTTTAAATCAGCAGGTCCAGATAACTTGCATCCAAGAATTTTAAAAGAGCTGACTGAGGAGATTGCTGGACCATTAATGTTGATTTTTCAAGAAGTTTTGGAGCACCATGGAAGTTCCAGAAGACTGGAAGAAATCTAATGTTATGTTCCTTTTAAAAAGGGGTAAATGGAATGACCCAGGTGATTATAAGTCTGTCAACCTGATATTGAGCCCAGGCAAAATAATGGAGTGGCTAATATGGGACTCCTTTAATAAAGAATTAAAGGAGGGTAATGTAATAACTGCAAATCAACACTAGTTTATGGAAAACAGATCCTGTCAAACTAACTTGATATCATTTTTTAAAAATGAGATTACAAATTTGGTTGATAAAGATAATAGTGTTGATGTAATATACTTAGACCTTTGTAAGGCATTTGACTTGGGACAGCACAACATTTTGATTAAAAAATTAGAACGATATAAAATTAACATGCCACACATTACATGGTTTAAAAACTGGCTAACTGATGGTCTCAAAGTGTAATTGTAAATGGGGAATCATCACTAAGCAGGTCTGTTTCCAGTGGGGTCCTGCAAGGGTTGGTTCTTGGCCCTGCACTATTTTACATTTTTATCTATGACTTGGAAGAAAACATAAAATTATTACCAATAAAGTTTGCAGCTGACACAAAAACTGGGGGAGTGATAAATTACAAAATTGACAGGTAGTGGGAGGAATAATGTGAATAGTATTGTTTTGTTGTGTCACTGTGTATTGCTGAGTTGAACTCCTGCTGCCTGAAATTTTTAAATTTCATGTGGTTTTAAGGTCTTATTCATGCAGGGAGTTACTTTTCACTTGTTTGAAAGTAATGTTTCTATTTCTATGCATCTATTTGCCTTTTGTTGTTGGTTTTTCTAAATACGTCTACAGTAATATACTAGTCTAGGGGAAAAAGACCCCACCCCCAAAAAACCTCAAAAGTGAATTTACCAGTCTACAGTGATTTAATCTGTCTACAGTGATATGGATTAGCTGTTTAAAACAACAACCTCAAAAATGTCCCCATGCCTTTTGACTTGTAACCCAGTCCTGCTCCAACTGTCCTTTATAAGCACTGTGGCATACCAACGTGATGAGTAAATTATAAATGCTGTGCAGAGATCCAAAACACCCATTGACTTCTGTGGAAAGAGGATCAGGCCTTCAGTCTGTTGTCAGTACTTTAAAAATAGTATTTTAATGAGTAGACACCATAAGTATGTTTATAAAATGTAGAGGATAACTTTTTCTTTTTCTTTCTTTTTTCCCCACTCTACCATGTCACATGTCTGGAGAAATCTGGAAGACTAACACTGTAGTCCAGAAACAGCTGTTTAGCTAGCTGACTGATGCACCTGAGGGACATTCCTTCCTTTATCAGAAGATCTTGTTTATTATATAAGCTACAGTTGGCTTGTCATAGTATATAGTCACTAGGGTGAATGAACTGGAAAGAAGTATGTATGACTCACCCCAGTGTGCGCACACTAGGGTGGAAATGGCCTCTAGAAAGTCAATATTTTTTCCACTCTATGAAACATACTTTATTTTGAACTCCAGAGACTGGTTACACCTAAAACCGTAGCTCTGGTTTACAAGAACTTAGTGAAAAATAGGGTAAGTTTTACAACATCTGAACATGCCTCCAGTTACAGTATTCTGCACATGATTGCACAATTCCAGAGCATCAGTGCTCAAACACTTCAGTCGCTGTTCAAGTTTGATAAATCTCGATTCTCTGTTCTTTCTGTTGCACATGCTTAATAGCTGACATGAGTATTTGGTACAGCCCTGGAGGAAAACATCCAATTTTTGATGCTTTTTCAGAGTTGGAGATAAAGCTTTAATATAGCTGCCATGCTGAATACTTGGGAGTATTTATTTCTTGCTTAGCTTCTATATCCAAGGGCAAATGGTCAAATTCATTTCATGAGCATACAGTACATAGCTCAACAAACAGCTTAGTTCAATTAAGTCTCTAGATACTCCTAGTATTTTTGGTGTGGGTCTGCTAAGGGCAGAAAGCAAAGAGGAGACTATGTCCAAAAGAACTTGTTGGCATTAGGCTTTCAGCCCATCTTGGTAGGAGGTATTAAGGACATCCAGATTGGTTCTGTGGACTCCTCGTGGCTGCAGCTGTTGCCCATATACTTCTATTTAGCATTTTAGTGGCTTCTCAGAAGAGAAGAATTCGTAGTGGAAAATATTATGCGTGGGTAATCTATTTTACCTACTGACTGAGCTGTCTTGGCTTTAGGGACTAATAAAAATGGCTACATCTCAAGCTACTCTGAAACTTCAGCTGGTCTTGTTGGCTTCCATGCATGACTTAATAAGGAGCGATTCATGATTTGTTCACAAATACTGTGCACACTAGGAGAACATCCATGCTGATAAGTATTATTTTGTATTGTGGCAGCAGCTAAGGATTGAGGGATCAGGGCCTCATTATGTTAGGCACTGCACAAACAAGTAATCCAAAGACAAAATTCAGAGTGGTTGCCGTGTTAGTCTGTATCAGCAAAAACAACAAGGAGTCCTTGTGGCACCTTAGAGACTAACAAATTTATTTGGGTATAAGCTTTTGTGGACTAAAACCCACTCATCAGATGCATAGAGTGAAAAATACAGTAAGCAGTATAAATATTACAGCCCATGAAAAGATGGGAGTTGCCTTACCGTGTGTGTGTGGGGGGGAGGGGTCAGTGCTAACGAGGCCAGTTCAATTAAGGTGGAAGTGGCCTATTCTCAACCGTTGACAAGAAGGGGTTAATATCAAGAGAGTGAAACTTACTTTTGTAGTGCTAATGAGGCCAATGCAATCAAGGTGGACGCTGCCCATTTCCAACACTTGACAAGAAGGTCTGAGTATCAGCAGAGGAAAAATTACTTTTTGTAATGACCCATCCACTCCCAGTCCTTATTCAGGCCTAATTTGATGGTGTCCAGTTTGCAAATTAATTCCAGTTCTGCAGTTTCTCGTTGAAGTCTGTTTTTGAAGTTTTTTTGTTGAAGAATTGCTACTTTTAAGTCTGTTAGTGAGTGTCCAGGGAGATTGAAGTGCTCTCCTACTGGTTTTTGAATGTTACAATTCTTGATGTCTGATTTGTGTAATTTACTCTTTTGCATAGAGACTGTCCAGTTTGGCCAATGTACATGGCAGAGGGGCATTGCTGGCATGTTGGTAGATGTGCACAGGTGAACAAGCCCCTGATAGTATGGCTGATGTGGTTAGGTCCTACAGTGGTGTCCCTTGAATAGATATGCAAACAGAACTGGCTTACTGTATTTTTCACTCTGTGCATCTGATGGAGTGGATTTTAGCCCATGAAAGCTTATGCCCAAATACATTTTTTAGTCTCTAAGGTGCCACAAGGACTCCTCGTTGTTTTTGCCAAAGACAAGAAAATCCCTGCCCAGTCAGAGAGCTCACAATATAGGATTTTGACAATCACCATGGGTAAATATGCTCAAAATACAGCTGTCAAGCATGGTTTTAATTTGCTTCCAAATTCAGGGTGGTTGCTGCTTCTGTTAACAGCAGTCCATAAATTGTGCTTTGCTAGAGCCAAATGGAACCTGGACATTAAAATTTTGGCTTGCTTCTAAGCTTAGGACCTACAATGTTTGAGTACATACAAAATTTGATTAAGCATATGCAGGAATGAGAATGTAATTTATTTGTTAATATGAAAATATAGCTTTACTTACAAAAAATCTAATGTACAGAATACCCCAATAATATGTTATGTCATTAATAGTGATGGAGTGTTTCATTTAAAAGAGCTTTCTTCTGGAAACCTCTATCTTCAAGCCAGGAATTGATATTCAACTTTCAGTTGTTAACATTGTCAACCTTCCAGAAACTCCATCTTTGTGTTTAACTATGGACATCTGGAAAGGTGTTTTGTTTGCTTCACTAAATAGAAGCCCAGCTAACATTATGAAACCTTTATAATGAAAAGAGCAGTGGTTTAGAGTAGATTTAATGATTTCATTAAACCTGCAATTTTTCATTGAGTCAAGTTGCTGTTAATTTAATCAATTTGGTGTAATATATTTAAGTGGTCACCATTTTTAAAAGTTGGCTTTTATCGATAGTTATTTCATACCACTGCGTAGTGCCATGTATATTTCTTACCTCATTATTTTCATAAATTTATATTATTTCAGACACCACTGTGGATAAATGCTGACTTTTCAATGGTAACCACT